TTTTGTTATACTCTAGCTCTCAGTTCCTGACAACTAGTAAGTGTTCAGCAAATAAGTGTTTGCTTATAGGTGGATGAGGACTGCCTTGTCATGAACCCTGACTTCGGGAAGGTTATTTGCAGATTTGTCTCTGAGGAAGCAAACTTCAGAGTCTGTCCTGTAAACTGGTGCCATAGTAACCTTCATAAACCAGTGCCTTTACCCTTCAGTCCTCCATTGGAGAGCCTCAGATGAATGCACAGTCCTGTACAGCTGTAGAATAAGGATGCCTAGCCTTTCTAGAAAGCCTTCTCTCCTAACTTTGTACCTGCAGTAGACTGGGACTCCCTCCAGTACTCTCAGTATCTCAGTGTCCCCTGTGGTACATGGCCACATTTAAGTGTCGAGCTTGCTGTGGTGCATGACCGTCTCTCTCTCTTCTCTCACTCCATAAGACGAGTGTATAATTCATATAAGTGCTTGATTATGATGTGTTCGTGATAGAAGTAAAAGACTTTATGTTTTATAACAATTAAAGTGACCAATAAAAGTGGGGAAATGCCACTAGATTTTAAGATTCAGTTTATCTAATCATACAGTAATGAAGTATTAAGCATTTCCATCTATAAAATATCTAAAAGGAACATATGCTTTTGATCATGACAACTAGGAAATGTGTGGACCAGCTCTCCCCATGTGCTACAGTCTGAATGTCTGTGTCCCTTCAAAATTCATGTGATGAGATCTTACCCCCCAAAGTGATGGTCTTAGAAGGTGGTCCTTTTGGGGGAGGTGGTTAGTTGCCTCATGAACAGGTTTAATACCCTTACAAAAGAGACTCCAGAGAGCTGCCTTGCCTTTTCGCCATGCAAGGGCTCACTGTTGGTGAGGAAGCAGGCCCTCACCAGATACCACCAATGCCTTGATCTTGAACTTCCCAGCCTCTATAACTGTGAGAAATGCAATTCTGTTGCTTATAAATTACCAAGTTGAAGGCATTTTATTGTAGTAACCCAAATGAACCCAGAAACCATGACAACAGCTAGAAGAATTGGATAAAATATTTTTAAAACTATCTCCATGAAGGCATCAGAGAATTAACAAGACAGAGAAGCATTTGGGGGTCAACCTCCTGGAGAGTAGGAAGCCTAGAGAGGTGAGCATGGCCCTTGGGGTTGCTTCCCCTTGAGGAGAAACTGCTGATTTCAGAAGAAGCATCTGGGAGACTGAGAAGCTGAGTGAAGCTTTGATAAACCTCACAGGGGTGGCAAACAAAAGTTGTCATTCAGAATCTGCCATAGAGATGGCGCTCAGCTAAATCCACTAGTGGTGGTTGGCATCCTGAAGGAATACACCCTTGAAAATGCCAAGAGTTTGTTTTGAAAAGATAATAAAATTGATAAAGGCTTAGCAAGACTGATCTCTCCTCAAACTCCCCACAAGGTAGATTAGATAGAGAGCCACAAATGAACAAAATCATGAACGAAAAGGGAATATCATGACATATTTTATAGATATGAAAACAGAAGAGTCTGGGCATGGTGGCTCATGTCTGTAATCCCAGCACTTTAGGAGGCTAAGGCAGGAGGATTGCTTGTGCCCAGGAGTTCAAGACCAGCCTGCACCACATAGCGAGACCTCATTTCTACAAGAAACCAAAAATTAAGCCAGGCAAAGTGGCACATACCTGTAGTTCCAGCTATTCAGGAGGCTGAGAGAGAAGGATCACATAAGCCCAGGAGGTCGAGGCTACAGTGAACCATGATCATGCCACTGCAGTTCAGCCTGAGTGACAGAGTGAGACCCCCAACTCCAAAAAAGGTGGAAATATTATAAAAACTATTATGCTAATTAACTAGGCAAGGTAGATGAACTGAATGCATTCCTTTAAGAACATCTTAATCTGATACAAGAAAAATTAGGACATTCAAATAGTCCTATATCTATTAAGGAAATTAGATCTTTAATTAAAAATCTGTCCCCAAAAAAATGCCCCATTTGACTTCACAAGTAAATTCTTCCAAATACTTAAGGAATAAATAATACCAACCTTAACACAAACTCTTCCAGATAATAGGAAAGGAGGAAAATATCTCCACTTATTTTATGAGATTATACCTGGATGCAATCATTATAAGAAAAATTACATCACAAACAGACCAGGCACAGTAGTTCATACCTGTAATCCCAGCACTTTGAGAGACAGGAGGATCATTTGAGTCCAGGAGTTCAAGACCAGCCTGGGCAACATAGCAAAACCTCATCTCTAAAAATAGATGATAGATAGGTAGACAGATAAACATCATAAACATAGGTGCAAAAATCAGTGATAATATACATGAGCATGTAGGGTTTTGTCTTAACATGCAAAATTGACCAGTGTAATCACCCTAACAGAACAAAGAAAAATTATGGTGATCATCTTAATAGACACAAAAATGATTTGACAAAACTCAGTACCCTTTCATGATAAAAAAAAAAACTTGTCAAACTAGAAACAGAAGGGAATTTTCAGTCTGATAAATGGTATTTACAAAAATTCTGCAGCTAAGATCAAATTTATTGATTAAATATTGATTGTTTCTCTCCACTTACCCAAGGTCAGGAACAAGACAAGTATGTATACTCTCACAGTTTTGCTCAATATTTTATTGAGGTTTGAGCAAGTGTAATAAGGCAAGATAAAGAAATAGATGTAGACACAGGAAAGGAAGAAATAAAATTGTCGTTCACAAATGACATGATTGCATATATATACAAAATAAAAATCTATCAGTAAACTATTAAATATGTGAATTTTAAAAATTTCTGGATATAAGATCAAGTAACAAACATCAGTTATTTTCCTTTGTACATACAACAATCAGAAAATAAAATATTTAAATGCTATTTATAATAACATTTAAAAAAGCCTAGGAACAAATCTGATGAAAGATCTGTATGACTTCTACACTGAAAAATAAAAATACTGCTAAGAAATTTACTGAATGCCTAAATAAAGGGAAAACAATACTATGTTAATGATTTAGAAGATTCAGTATTAAGGTGTCAGTTCTTCCCAGATTGATCCATAACTTGAATGCAATCCCAATCAAAATCTTGGCAGGTTTCTTTGTAGAAATTAGAAAGTAGATTCTAAAATTCGTATGAAAATACCAAGAACTAGAATAACCAAAGCAATCTTAGGGAAGAACAATAAAACTAGAGGACTTAACATTGCAAGATATCAGCACTTACTATAAGCTACAGTAATTCACACTGTCATATTGGCATAAGGATAGGTAGACAAATGGAACAGAATAGAGTCCTTAAATAGACCCACAAATATGTGGACACCCGATTTACTGTAAAGGTACTGCTGCAGTGCATAAGGAAAGGATGGTCTTTTAAATAATCTGTACTTAGTCAATTGGTTATTCCTAACCAAACCTAACAATGTAGATTAAAATGTACCATAGACCTAAAGTGTGAAAGGTTAAAAAAAAATAAAGCTTCTAGAAGAAAACTTGGGAGAAAAATCTTAGGATCTTGGAATTAGTAAAAATATCTTGGCTGGGCACAGTGGCTCAAGTCTATAATCCCAGCACTTTGGGAGGCCAAGGTGAGAGAATTGCCTGAGCTCAGGGGTTCGAGACCAGCCTGGTGAGTCCTCGTCTCTACAGTTAGTAAACAAAAAATAAGCTATGTGTTGTAGCACATGCCTGTAGTTCTAGCTACTTGAAAGGCTGAGGTGGAAGGATTGCCTGAGCCCAGCAGGTCAAGGCTGTGGTGGCCATGAGCGTGCTATTGCACTCCAGTTTGGGCAACAGAGTGAGACTCCAAAAAAAAAAAAAGATATCTTAAACAGGACACAAAAAAGCACTTAACATGAAAGATTTGACTGATAATTTATTAAAATTAAGAACTTTTAAAAATCAAAGAACACGTTAAAGAGAAGGAAATGCCACCACAGGCTGAGAGAAAGTCAATCTGCAAAACATATATCTGACACAGGACTCATATCCTGAATATATAAAAAACTTCTGCAAATCAACAAGAAGCAGTTTACTAAAAAATTTTTTAACAGGCAAAAGACTAGGACAGGCACTTCACAAAAAGGGGCTATCTAGGAGGCTAATATGCATAAGAAGAGGTACTTGGTATCTTTAGCTATCAGGAACATACAAAATACACTAATGAGATACTTCTGTACTCCCCAGAATAGCTAAAAGACCGGTCGTCCCAAGTATGGACAGGAATGTAGAACTAAGCTCTCAGGTGTTGCTGACAGGCATCTAATTGGCAGAAGCAGTTTAGAAAGTGGGCAGTTATGTACTAAGCCTAAATCATGTACTCCATGGCCCACTCTTAGGCATATACTTAAGAGAATTGGGTACTTATGTCCACCAAAGTCATGTTCAGGAAACCGTTCATGATAGTCTCAAACTGGAAACAATTCAAGTTTTCATCACCATGAAAAGGGATAAAATGTGATATATTTGTACAATGGAAAATGGCACTGCAATGAAATAGAACTTCTGTGGCATATAACATCATTCCTTATTGATATAGATGAAAAGTTGAGAGAAGATTGAGTTGTAAAAGAGTATATACTGTATGATTGATTTTCCTTTATACGAATGGGTGGATAGATCGACAGATGGACTACTTAACTACCCATGAATACATAAATGTGTGTTTGTGGTGGCAAAGTTCAGAAGAGTGGTTCTTTTGCCAGGGTACACAGGAGGCGCACAAGGGAACCTTCCGGGAGCTGGAGGCTGTGGTGTTGGGAAGCATGGAAAGGAATGCTCATAGCAGCATGATTTGTAAAAGTCCCACCCAGAAGTAATCCAGATGACCCTTGTCAGTGTGCCAGGTGAATATAATGGCCCATGTCATCATCCTAGTGGAGGACGAGTATGATGGCCCATGTTGTCATCCAAGGGGAGGGCGAGTATGATGGCCCATTTTGTCATCCAAATAGAAGGTGGGTGTGATGACCTGTGGAATCATCCATTGGAGGGACAGTATGATGGCCCATGGAATCATCCAAGTGGAAGGCGAGTGTGATGGCCCATGTCATCATCCAGTGGAGGAAGAGTATGATGACCCATGTTGTCATCCAAGTGGAGGGTGGATATGATGGTCCATAGAATCATCCAAGTGAAGGGTGGGTATGATGGCCTGTGGAATCATCCATTGGAGGGAGGCCCATGGAATCATCCCAGTGGAGGGCGAATGTGATGGCCCATGTCATCATCCAGTGGAGGGGAGAGTATGAGTATGATGGCCCATGGAATCATCTAGTGGAGAAAGAAGATGATGGCCCGGGTCATCATTCAAGTGAAATACACCATGTGGAATGAATGAGTTCTATTTGTAGGTAACAGAAACCTCTCGAATGGAGTGAAAGAAAAAAGACCTTTATAAAAGAATGCCCATGCTGCTTCCATTCGCATGAACTTCAAGAATAGGCAAAAGTTAATTACAGCTTTGCAAATAAATCATTGGTTACTTTTTCAGAGGATGGAGGGCTGGTGATTGGAAGGGGGATGGTGGGGGCATAGCAGATGGCAGTGCTCTTGTCCTGCGAGGTCATCACACCAGCATTGGCTTTATGGTTTTTCATTGAGTTTTACATTTATATTCTGTGCATTTTTTAATAAGTACTATTCCTCCATAAAAAGAGAAAATACTCAAAAGGTTTGAAGCTACTAAATGAATTTCAGCATTATAAATGCCTTTACATTAAAAAAAAGCTTGTAAAAGCTGAAAAATATTACTTTTTTTCATATGTTCCTTTTGCTTTATACCTGAACTTTTCTGTATTCATTGATGAAACCATACAATGTTTACCTCTGGGAATTTTTCCCTTTATATGTAAAGTTAAATTTTTTTTATTTTAATGTTTAGAAAGGCATAGTTTTAAACTGAGAGCCAGCTGTAGGACATCTGAGCTTTCTAACACTCTAATTTATTGTTTTGGTAGTAATTTATAAATTGCAAACATGGTTTTAGTTTTGAATTTTGTTTCAGTTCTTTTAAACATGTATCTTCTGGTATAATAAAGAACTCATGATTTCTTACCAGATGACAAGCAGACTTACTAGAAAATTTGGCTTCTTCCCTGTATAAATTTTTTACTTGCAGCAATTTGGTTATCGGACACTAATTTTCGATGTGGCATTCACAATAGTTCTATTTGTCACACTGAGGATATGAAGTGGATCTGTGGTTTATTATCTTTGCAATTTTCAGTAAAAGCCATATCTGCTAATCTTCTTAGTTCCTAGTATTCACTGAAAACATTCATCTCTAAATAAAATGTTTTATGTGAGTAAATATTTTCTGTATAGCTTTTTTGAAGTAAGAAGTTATATATTAACCTACTTTTTCATGCTGTTTTTCTTTTTCTAGAGAAAATCTCTTCATGAAAACAAATTGAAGAGACTGCAGGACAAGGTGGAAATCTTGGAGGCAAAGAAAGAAGAATTGGAAACAGAAAATCAGGTGTTGAATAGGTAATGTGCTCCCACGTGGCTATTTTGATGTCATAGAAATTTCTTTCTGGGTATAATCTACTACTTTATGTTTTTTTTAAAAAAATACATATTTAAAAGATTTCTAAAACTGTGTGATTACTCCTAATGTATTAGCCTTTTTAGAATGTGAATGTGCCTTAAAGGCAAAGGCTCTATCACTTGTGGGTATTTGTGCTATGGCTGCGACTGATAGAAAGGTCAGTCACTAGCACCAAGGAGTGGCTTGACTTCTTGCTGCTGAGACACAAAACAGTTGTGGCTACTGCATAGTTATCAAAGTTGTAGGTACAACTCTGAATCAAAGGTCAGTTTTTGGTTTCCTGGTGTAGAAAAATATTATTGAACTATACTTTCTGGTTTGGTAGCCACAACCAAGCATAGCTAATTATCAACACTAGCATTTTTTAAGCAGAGAAGATTTAGCATGTGAAATTGGTGGTACTGGTGTTGCGTAATCTATTTGATTCAAGTTTAAAAAATCTTTTAAATTCAGTAATTAATGGTGGCCTTTACCATTTTAGCTATTCAAATATTAGATTTTTCCTTTTTTTTTTTTTTTTTTTTGAGTTGGAGTCTCACCCTGTCACGCAGACTGGAGTGCAGTGGCTGCTCCCGGCCACTGCAGCCTCGACCTACTGGGCTCCAGTGATCCTTCCGCCTCAGCCTTCCAAGTACCTGGAACTACAGGCGCATGCTGCCACACCCGGCTAATTTTTGACTTATTGTAGAGATGAGGTCTTGCCAAGTTGCCCAGGCGGTCTCGAACCCATGGGTTAAGGCAATCCACTCACCTCAGCCTCCCAAAGCACTGGGATTACAGGCTGAGCCACTGAGCCCGGCTTAAATATTAGATTTTTCATAAGGAAAATTGCCTGTATCATGCAGTGATGTTTTATGATATGCACTTGTATTCAGGGTGTAATTATTACCAAAATTTGAAGTTTCTAAAAGAAGAACATTCTAGAGGTGTCTAGAGTACAGTTAATGCCACACTTAACAATACTCTATTCCAAAGTAGGAAGCCACCAAATTCATTGTAAAACAAAAGCTCACTTACTGCTTCTTTCATAACCATTACTATTGAAATGTTATCAGTTCTGTATTACGCAGCCATGGCACAGATCATTGAGAACTGTGAGTGGTTTTGAAACTCTTTGATCACTGGTGTGACTGATGGTCAGGAAAGTCATATCCAAGAGATGATGATCTGTGCAGGCCTGAAGGTTGGCTCTTTTCTTCATGTCCTTTTCCCTAGAGTTGTGAAGCTTTGCCGTCATGCTTACTTATATGCAATGGGAGAAACCAAAGTGCTTTCCTGTTCTCACAGTCAGCACTTCTGACCCCAGATCAGTGGGAGATTCCTAGACATGAAGTAATCCATTCTGCAGTGGATACCAGCTGCATGTTCTGTAATTCAGGCCTGACACTGTCTACCTGAACATGGCATCTTGTCCCACAGGTTGAGGGCTCAGTTTCACAAGACTGCCTCCTTCAGATGCCGATTGCAAGCCCCAGGCCTCCTGACTGGCTGTGAATCCAGGTTCCCCTGACCCTCCTTAGGCTCAGTTAAGTTGCTGTCATAGTTCACAGATTGAGGGTAAACACACCTGCTGGCTTCTTGTAAAGGCTGTGACAGAGGCTGCAGGTGAACAGCCAGAGGGAACAGGTGCATGAGGTAGGGCCTGCTCCAAGAGTGCCATCCTTGGCTCTGCTGCATGTCCAGGAACACGGAAGCTCCCAGTCCTTACTCATGGGTTTTTCCATAGGTTTCATACGTAGCCATGATTGATGACATCATTGGCCATTGGTGATCTACTCAACTTCAGCCTGTCTGCCTTCCCCAGAGGTGGTAGTGGAGGGCAGGTGCTGAAGTTGCAGTCTTCTAGTCCTGCCTTGACCTTTTTGGTGAGCTGTCCATCCTGAAGCTCACCACATCACCTCATTAGCATACAAAAGACACTCTTACACTGCAGAGTTTCCCAGGGTTTTAGGAGCTGTCTGCCAGGAACCATGGACAGAGACCAGATATATACAGTAAGTCCCCTACACGTGAACTCTCAAGTTGTGAACTTTCAAAGATGCAACATGCACTCACATTATTTGAGAAGGTGATGTTAGTTTTTGAGGCTCAGGATATGAACGTAGAACAGTACTCAAAGGTTACAGCAACTGTTCAGAATGCCATCCAGTGCTACTGTGTCTTCTATGACAAGAAAAAAAGAGCTACCGTCCAAACATCACTACATTGGTTTTTTTGAGAAGGCAGATAGAGTTAAACCCAGTAAGGAGCCACAACCTGTGCCATTTGTGTCAGGCATGAGTGAACCTATTGCTGGCCTTCCGTCTCCTGTTGCTAACGATCCTTCAGCTCTGCCATCTCTTCCTCCTCTCCTTCCTCCAATCAGTAAATCTTCTTGTTCGTTCACTTGACACCAGCCCATGTGTCCCAGTTGTTATGCTGTTCTGTAAGATTAAACATGGTTTATTTTTGTATTTTTTTATGTGATATCTGTAAAACTACTATTCTAAATATCTCTCAGTACAGTACTGCATAACCAATTGTGTGAGTTGGCTACCTAGGCTAACTTTATTGGATTTAGGAACAAATTGGACTTACAGACATGCTCTTGGAATGGACCTTGTTCCTATGTAGGGGACTTACTGTATTTCATGTTGTGGTGAAATTTTGAAAAGAAGAAACTTGATCACAATCTTATACCTACATTTTAAAAATTAGGTTGAGCTGTATGACATTTTCTATATTTGACCATATTTCACCTAGAAAAATGGCAATTTGATAAGGGTTAACCAGCATGTTCTCTACAGTTGACCCTTGACAACATGGGCTTGAACTCTGCCAGGTCCACTTGGTTTTTTTCAACCAAACACAGATTGAAAGTAGTGTTCACAGGGTATAAAACCCGACCATATGCCGGGCTCGGTGGCTCAGCCTGTAATCTCGTGCTTTGGGAGGCTAAGGTGAGTGGATTGCCTGAGCCTGTGTGTTCGAGACCCGCCTGGGCAACTTGGCAAGACCTCATCTCTGCAATAAATCAAAAATCAGCCGGGCGTGGTAGTGCACGCCTGTAGTTCCAGCTACTTGGAAGGCTGAGGCGGAAGCATCTTCGGAGCCCAGCAGGTCAAGGCTGCAGTGGCCAGGAGCGGCCACTGCACTCCAGTCTGGGTGACAGAATGAGACTCCAACTCAAAAAAAAAAAAAACAAAACCCGGCCATAGAAAGGGCCAGCTTTTCCTACATGCGGGCCCTACAAGGCTGACCGCGGGATTTGAGTAAGCAGGTATTTTGGTACACAAAGGCAGTCCTGGAACTGATGCCCGTGAATACCCAGGGATGGCTGTATTTTTATTTGGTTTCTTTTGTAAGAGAAGGCACTCTTTTGCTTTTAAGAGTCTCTTCAGTTTTATGATTCATGAATTGGGAAATGGGATGGGAATGAAAGTCAAAGAGTTAAAAGATTTCTTATCTTGATTGTCAAATAAAGCCTTATGATGAGATGATAGTCTATAATGCTAATGATAATTGCATATGACTACGATGTAATGTCACGTTTTCTCTTTATCTTTCTAGGTAAACAGACTTATCTATGTATCACCTACAGATAAGTCTTATAATGTTGAAATCCTTCTTTTCCAGTTTAAAGTTTTATTCCGCAAATTACGCTGTTCAATAGGATATCACTGTATTAAAGAACAGACTTTTTTTTTCTTTTTAAGACAAAACGTTCCATTTGAAGAATATACAAGGCTTCAAAAGAGACTGAAGGACATTCAGAGACGACACAATGAGTTTCGGAGTCTCATTCTGGCTCCCAACATACCCACAGCAGCGCCCCTCCCTCCCTCTGGCTTCCCGCTGTCAGCCATGCTTCCAGGTCTCGAGCTGGCCTTCCCTCCTCACATGCAGGTATAAACATTTAGGGTAGGGAAGAACAATTAGCCAGACATTCTTGCAGGTTTTTATGGGTTTAAATATAGAGTCACTGTTAAAATTCAAATTGTAAATGTGTTCAGTGTTCAAAATTCACCGCAAAAATGGCATAAACATTACAGTCAGCCAGTTTTCACGTCTCCATGTCTTCTCTTACCAGGGAAGTCTGCTGACTTTGATTTGGATCCTTTCGATCCTTTAGTGATGTTGCTGGGAATGAAGTATCCTGTCGGGCAACAGAAAAGCAGCTCAGTTAGTGAGCCTTTGTGTAACCTAGAGTTTGTAGCTTACTCGTATGATATCAGTTAGTACTGAGCATTTACTAATGCCATGAACTGTGCATATTCCATATAGTATTTTATTACCTCTAATGAAAATGCTTTGTGGGCAGGTATTATTATTCCCAATTCATAGGTAAGCAAACTGAGTCTGAGAGTGAAGTGCCTTGCCTGAGGTTGTAGCTAATAAATGACAGAGTTAAGTTTCAACCCTGAGTCTGTCTTAGTCCCGAGCCTGGGCTCTTTGTATTGTATCAGGCCCCTGAGATATAAAGGAATCACGTCGCCTGGATGATTTTCAGAAGATGGGAAGCAATGGCATTTCATAGTGTTACGAGCACAGAAGATTGTAGTCACTGACTTGACTCTCGGGCCAAGTGCTTTTTCCTAATAAGCTCTGGTCTTGTCAGAGGTTGCCATGGGAGCGTGCCTGGCCCCTGTATGAATATTTCTCCACTTGCTCCCTGTGAGTGCACACCTGGAGAAGAATGACCATGGGTTTTACTTAAGGCCAGAGTCAGGGCAGGAGAGAAACCAAGTGGCTGGTGGTTGGCCCAGCTGGGTGTTGTAGACTGCCGCAGGGGGCAGCATCTCCTCGCCAGACACCACGGTGCATAGAAAAGAGGCCACTGAGGCTGCTGTGGATGGCTACTTTTCTGCCTGCTCTCCTAATGGTTTCTCTTGCTGTGCTTTCTCTACATCATTTTAAGGAGGAGCAGCACCAGAGGGAACTCTCTCTGCTTCGCAAAAGACTCGAAGAGCTAGAAACAACACAAAGAAAGCAGCTGGAGGAACTGGGATCCCCTGGAGAGTGATGTTCTTGGGAAAGGCAGAGCGAGAGAACTGAAATCAGTGACTCAATAAAGCTGGAAGCTGTGACATACATGGCATGTGAATACTGCGTTACTGTTTGCCAAAGTACTTGACTGTGCCTCAAGCAAGGGTGCCAGCTAGTGCTGTGTGGCACAGCCCGGGCCATAGGGTTGAGCTAGGGAGCTAGGGAAGAACAGTAGGGGACATGTCAGGATCCTGAGAACACTGGTGGACAGCACCTTGGGAATGTGAAGCAAAAACTAAAAGGACTAACTAGGAAATCAAGTTTTTAGATTAATTTTACTTGGTTGAATTGTGTGGCATTTTGCCCGCAACTTGTCCGTCCTGAATTCCCCTGTACCCTGGAGCTGCTTGGTAATTGCAGGGTCCGTGAGCATCTTCTGGTTTGCTCCAAACAAAATTATAAACTAGTGTTTGAAAAAAAGGTGATGGTTTAAAGTCAGCATAGAAAAGTCACTGTAAAGGTATCTCACATTACAGGAGATAGCCTTTTCCAAAAATTGTGTGCACGTAATTTATTGAAGAGCTTAATAAATATTTTTCTATCTATATTGTCTTGTGTTTAATTATACTTTGACCACACAGCATGTATTTAACGGTGTGGAAGGGCTCACTGATTTTGGCTTTGCTGTGTTAGAATTAATAGAAAATAACAAGTGCAAATAATCATGGCCTGTGGCTGTATTTTTAAAAGGGGGCTATTTATTCTTAGACTTGACCCCAGTGGGGTCTCCTTAGAAGAACTGTTGGTATTTAGCTTTGCTTCCCACTACTGTGGCTCTAACCAAATAATTACAAACGTTGTATTTCCATGTGTCCCTAAGTATGCCATTATTTTTTTCACTGTGTGCCTTTGGAAGCTTTTTTATGTAACATCTTTTAGAGGAATTGTGCTGGAAGAATTCATGTCAATGAGGCTAAAACTCACATCTCTCAAACTAAGTGGAATGTTCATTACCCAGAGGTCTTCACGGTCAGAAGGCCAAGTTGAAAGTGGAGGCAGGAAGGTAACTGAGCAGCCACAAGCACCACTTAGCAGGAAGCCCCATTTACTGACACATGACAAAGCCCTGGAATAATTAATTTCCAGGGAGCCACTTAGAATTTAAAAATCTATTATAACTAGAAAACTTTGGGGGAAAAAAGACAATCCACGGTTACATCAAAATGTTTATTTTTGGATATAGACATTTAAAACATTCATCTCCAAGAACAGCTTCAATCAGGTATACAATAAGAAATAGACTTTAAATCCTAATATGGAAAAGGTAACAATTAATTTTTAAATGCTGCTGTAGACACTAGTGTTAGGAAAAAAATGTTTATAAGTGAATTGTTTCGCACCAAAAAAATATGCAAAGGAACTTGAAATAGAAGTTGTTTGCCATCTGTTTCTCAGTTGTGTCGATTCTAGACCCGTGACTGATTGTCTGCAGCCCACGGCTCACTTGGCCCTCCCTGCGTTTGGCTACTGTGATCCGGACTGTGATCCAGATAGCACTCTCACTGGAGGATTGACAGACACACTACATACAGGAGTGAATCTTCACACCACCTCGGTGAGGTAGCTTAGAAATAGTATTCAGAAATCGAGGCACAAAAAGGTAAGTGACTTGCCCGAAGTTCCCAGCGGCAAGGTCTCTGGGAGAGGAGGGGCCTCTCCATGGAGGACTCAGGCGCCAGGAAGCTGGACAGGGAAACCCTCATGGAGCAGTGAACGAATCCTTAGATCGAGCTGAAGCTGACCTCTGTGTGCTCGGGACCCTGCTGCGGGAAGTCGGGCAAGTCTCCTACCCTGGCTCTCAACCTCCTCTCGCTCACCTCTGAAGGCTGTGGCCGCCTTGGCTGGGGACCAGGCCTCTCGCCTGGGGACTGACACGTCACCCATCCATCTGGTAGGTTTTTGAGGAGTGTCCACTGGGCAGACAGTGGGAAGATGCCTGTCAGGGCGGTAACAGCTTGTTTCTCTGATCAGCTTGTTGAGGGTCACCTCTCTCTACCACGTGTGAAGGAGCAAAGAAGATGGCATTTCTTCGAGACAGAGTCACAATTAAATTGACCTGACGCTCCAGACAATGTTGGTAAGTGATTTGGGGAATGTGTGATCAGTTTTGTTTTCTTTCCTAGACCAGGACTTGGAGCACCACGGTAACAGGTACTCGCCACAAGGCAGGCTGAGAGGCGCCAATCATGCTTTGACTTCTCTGGTTTAATAGAAGGAAAACACAGTGGTATTAAAATTGGTCATGAGCAGCAAAAATTCAGGAATAAAAAAATCAGCAATAGAAAGACTACAGTATAACGATAAAGAATTCTTTAAAAAGAAAGGCATGAATAAAATGAGTATTTTAAATTCTTTCTCCTGTGAGGAATACTTTCAAAAAGTACATAGTAAGACGAAGATACCAAGTTGTATACTAGTATTTGTCAGGCCTTGGGCCTCAAGTATATATATTTATATATAATACTCCAGTGTGAACAGCAATTTGATGAAATGTAAGATGTATCTTTTTTTTCAAATCACATACAAGTATTTATAACCACAGGATTCACCAGAAATCTAAAGCAAGGAGACACAAGTGTAGAAACACGGGCAGGGGAGTGAGCGACTCATCCACAGATGGTTCTGATCCAAGGCTTGGAAGCAGAAATCATGACTTTTTTGTATAATATCCAAAATGTCCACTATCAGATACACTTAGTATTAAACAAATGGAAAGAAAAGGAGCATACATCAGGTGACGCATCTGGGTCAAATGCTGTCCATATAGGGAAGGCCGCCCATGCCCTGCTAGCGCCCCTGGTGAGATGGAGGGAAGCGGGATGGAGTGCAGGTGGTGACCACTGAAACACGAGCCCTTTCAACAATGTTGCAACACTGTTAGTTTTTGGTTTAAACACACACACACACTCACAAATGCTAAGTGTACACACTACCAAATTCTGCGGTCAGCTTTTTCAAGAACTACTGGGGAGAGGTTCAAAGGTGCAGATCCTCGAAGTGGCTCCGACACCCCCCTCCCCACTTGTTTCCAAATGACTCACTTCACATTTTGTTTTGAGCATGGCAGTACCCCTGGACTGCAGAGGTGCACAGAGTCCCAAGTGCTACATAGCTTTAGTTTTCAAACTATACCACCTCTCATTGTGCTTAAGTGGAGACAGGTTACAATACTGACACTTGCTTACTGGCCCTGTATTCTCTGTAAACAAGGAGGCTGTTTGCAACAACCACTTCGGCTCTATTTACAGAAGGGTTACCGCGGCACAAGCAGGCACAGCGGTCGGTGCGCTTTCTAAAGGCCGTGTGCGCGCCTTGGTCTCTTAAAGACAGTGCGCAAAGTGGAGCCTATGTGCAAACAAGAAGGTCACGACACAGAGAGGCCGAGGCAGCCATCCTGCCCCCGCCGTCTGAAGAACTCTGCCAGGCTGAGCCGGCCCGGCACTCACATCCACTTGCACTTCTTCTTTTCGTCAAACAAGACTCTGACATGTAAGAGCTGCTTCTGAGCTTCTTCCAGCCCTCGTTCTCGCTCTAGTTTATTTAGAATCTGTTGACAATTAGAACAGTTATTTTAGACTCTATGGTCTTAGCATTACAATTCTGTTTCTTTGCATACCTGAGCTGTGAGTGGTAAAATCTGTATGAAACAGATGCCAACATTTCTCTGGTCATTTACATACTTTGCAAGTTGTTTTGCTAAGTCATTATCACAGGATCAACAACACTTTGGCTTAAAATAGAAACCCACAAGAAATACCAACTATCTGCTTACAGTAGGGGACTGGCCTTCCAAGGCCCCTGTTATGCATGACGTCACAGCCATTCCAAGCACAGCAAGCAGTCCTGGCAGCCAACATGCAGCAAGGATTCCTCCTTTAATGCAGCAGGCAAGGGTGTCCTGGTCAGGGAGGAGTCCTCCCCCCTCCCGCTAATAGGGTCCCTGTAGTCCCTCCTCTCCCCCTTCCCCAGTGCGTCCCTTCTCTCCCCTGGCCCCTGGAGAGAGGATGCTTATCGTGTTGGAGGAGCTCATGGCCTCTACCCTACCTTAGGCTTCACTGGATCTTCAAGGAGCAAATGGAACTGGTGAGCTATTCTCACCAGGGACATGGATAGCCTGGCCCAGCATGACTGAGTGGGGGGAATCAGGGAACGGGGAGTTAACATATGTTTGGAAACAGCGCATCTGATGAGTGTGTCTGTGTGAATGCCCAAAGAAAAAAATCCAGATTAAGGAGAATTAATCATCAAGGAGAATGGTTTATTGAAACAGCTGCCCAAGTTAGCAATAGTCATAATTTCAGACAACTACTGAGTACAGAGTCTAGGTGATTTCACAAGCTTAGCTCTCATTTCTAGCAGATCACAGTCAAGCATTAGCTGGCCCCAGCTACTCAGGCCGCTACCTACATGTCAGCGTTCACATGAGTCAGTGGGGCTGCAGGCCCCACGAGCTCGAATGTAACTCTGGCTGGTCATAGGGGCAGCTTCACAGGGTCTGGCTCTGGGCCAGGATCCCCCAGCTCAGACAGGCTTCCTGGCCTCCCTTTCTGCCGTCTGGATGCCAGAGCGGTCTTAAAACTCACAGAATGCTATCACCAAGTCCTGTGACTGAGCCACAGCTTAAAAACAATGCTGTGAAAAATCTTACCTCATCAAAATATTTGACGATGTATTTGTAGATTTCTGTCAAGGCCACTTCTTCATTAAATTCATTTTCATGTTTCTAAAAGAAAGGAAGGCTTGTTGAGAGATTCTGAAATGACTTTCTTTAAAAGAAAAAAGATAACCAAATGAAAGCTTATTTCTGCTTTCTAACAATACCTTCGATTCCTGAGTTAGAAATTCTTCCATTTCTGAAGATGACAATGGAGGCAAGTCCCTGATTGCTTTGTAATAAGATTTTACTTCTTCTTTGTAGGTTGGGATATCCTTGGCATAGAGGAGTTTGTTTGTTGGTGCTTCCTAAAAAACAAACAAAAAACATCACCAAAAGGTTAAAAAGTCAAAGACAATGTCACAGCACCATGTTGCCGAACCCTCCCCGCCAGCAGTTACCCCCACTCACGAGGCCTGGTAAGTGCTGGTGACTGAGTGACTGACTGCCATCTAGATAGTTCCGGTGAGTCACTGTTATTTTCAGGCAGATTAAATGCTAATATATTCTGCCTTCCTCTCATAAAAGAACTAAAATTATTATTTTTGCATGATTTTGAGTTACTGTAACAATGGAACTTATTTCAATCATAGTTCATTACTAATGGTTGTAAAAAGCCTGAATTAAAACATTTGCTCTCATCCTCGCCCACCAGTGAATTTGGCATTTATAAAAGACTTGATTGTAGGTCTGATTGAGCCTTTATATAACCATGAAACTGGTAAGTACTTGGCAGAGGCAGATTTTCCAGCATGTCCCTTTTATTTCATTCCATCATAAAGATCTTCTAGATTTTCCAGGGAAGCTCGTGTCCACTGGTATTGGTGGCTCCAGTGTCTGCTTTTGCAAAGGTTCCCTGGCAGGTAGAATGTTTTGTATAATTAGAACAACTATAATATTTGAAAGTTAGGCTGGGCCACAATGGCTCGGCCTGTAATCCCAGCACTTTGGGAGGCTGAGGCGAGAGGACTGTCTGAGCCTGAAGGTTCAAGACCAGCTTGGGCAATTTGGTGAGACCTCATCTCTATAAATCACAAAAAACTAGCCAGACATGGTGGCATGCGTCTATAGTTCCAGCTACTTGGAAGGCTGAGGTGGAAGGATCGCCTGAACCCAGCAAGTCAAGGCTATGGTGACCATGAGTGTGCCACTGCATTCTAGCCTGGGTGACAAAGAATGAGACTTCAACTCAAAAAAAAAATTTTTTTTTTGAAAATTAAATAAGTCAAGATTTTATTTTAAAAAGTCCATTTTCACACAAGTTTTAAAAATTCTACTTGGGAACAACAGGTGAGACAGTGGTAGGGCTCATGTCCCAGGACATCATAAAAACCCCACGAGGCTGGATCCATGGCCTGATGGGTCACTCAGAAGGATGCTCAGTCTGAGAGATCACTGAGGTCTTCTCCTCTTTCAAAAGTTTAGGCAGAACCCAGAAATCACACAGTCATTCATTCATTCAATTAACACTGATCGATTAACCAGGCACTGTAGGCACGCATGGCATGAAGCAACAAAGACCAGTGCCTGCCCTTAAGATGCCTTTGATCTACTTGCGAGGACAGATTTCCACAGTGCTTGCTGCGATACAAGGCATGAGCAAAGAGGGACTGCAGAGTTGGGTGAACCAGAAATCCCTTCTCTGCTGCGAGGTGTGCTCTCAGGCAACACTGCCACCTTAGAACATCTGCATCCTCATCTAGAAAGTGGGGGTGGTAATAACTACTTCACTGGGTGCTTGTGGGATTAACTGAGATACTCCAAGAACATGAACAGCTATTTTTTTTATACAAATAAACACTGACATGTCTTTCTGTGTGCTGTGTGGTAAGACAGCAATGGCATTTGTCACATGGAGACATCGCCGGAGAAAATGCATGAGGAGGGTTCCCAGAGTGGCATGTTGAGACTGATCTGAGCCTCCTACAATTTTTGGTACCCATTAGGAACTCATGTTTGTTGAATGAATGAAATGCCTGTGAATGAATGAATGATTTTACCAGACAGGAAAGATACCAGCAAAGGATGTGGAAACCATTCACGGTATGTGTGGGAAGAGTAAGAGCGGAAGCAGGGAGGGGTAGGGGATGTGCAGGTAGGGGAGGAAGCAAAACCTGTCGGGAGGCGTCCAGGGACCGTGAAGCTGGCAGGGATAGGGAGTGCCTGCAATTTTAGGAAACAGACTTGAAACCACCTATATAAAATTCATATCAGGTCATGGGGTAAATGCTGTAGCAGAGACCCAAGCCTCGGAACACCATAGCTATGGTAAGAATTGAACACATCTGCTGTTTCTAAGTTTGCTTTCAGGTCAACAGAGGACAGTTGATCATCTTCCCGTCCTGACCCCAACACACTCTCTTGCGCAATGGGCCCCAGGTCTGTGTAGATACCAGAGCAGAGGTTGGAGAACAGGAGGGTGCTGTCTCCAGAGACCCACCTTCCCCACCTTCCTCCTGAGCTACCTCCAAGATGGCCCACAACCCAGGGTAGGAACTGGGAGCACAGGATGTGCTTATGGACAGTGTCCAGTACAAAGCCTAGGGCTAGAGCTTGAGGTATTGTTCAGACTCTGTTCTCTGATGGATTTGGGGCCCCACTGGGCCAGAACACACACCAGGAGGATTGTTCTGCCTCTCCCATAATGTCTCTCCTAGAAATCGGGCGGGAAGGCAGTCTTGACACTCCATGGCATCATCAACCTATCAGCAGTCTCTGTCCCCCGCCGAGTTCCCTTTAGAAACCCCAGCCTCTGAGAATCATCTCCCATCCTACTTGCTCTGCTGCTCTGCAATGTTAAAGTATTTCTCCACTGTCATGGCTACGTTAGTCCTGGTTTTTCTGGGCTATGGGCATAGGAACCCTGTCAGGCTGTAACAGATGACCAGATCAGATTCATGTTTCAAGAAGATAACCTGAGACACAGTGAAAAGAAACAGCTTGGGGTAGGGGCAGCCAGCAGGGGCAAGAACACCGTGAGGAAACAATTATGATTCCAGTGGGGAGGGGAACAAGGGATAAGGTGGAGGAATTGGGCTGGAGGGACAACAGACGTGTTCCAGACAGAAGCAACTGGGGAGAGTTGAAGGGAGTCAGAGACACTGCAGGGATTCCACCTGAGAGACAGGCAGTGCCAGGGAAGACCAGAGAGTAGTCTTGTTGTACAGGAACAGTGGTGATAGGAATGGGTTGTGGCTGGGAGTCAAGGCACCCACGAAACACCAGTCACTGTCATCCCAGACACCTCAGAGCCTTTTCCCCAAAGGGCCTCGTCTAGATATTAAAGGTCTTCTGAAATCTGTGGGTACAGAGAAGGGCAGGTCAGTGTATTTGGGAGTGCTCAAATCAGACCAATGCATCTCTTTTAGAGACTGCTCTGCATTTTTATCTTCCTTTGCTTTCTTGGGGCTTTTGATCAGTGAAGAAAACCACAAGAACACAAAATTCATGCTTTGATTATAAACTGACAAACTGGTATTGTTAAAAATCTCAGGCAGAAATTGTTTCCCCATAAGCAACTTGTTATATTCAAATAGGATTTTTATGTATATTCAACTTAATTTACGCAAGTTTCAACAGTTTCATACTTTGGGTTGTTTGTCAGTATCTGTAGAATGTTTTTCTAAGAAACTAAGAAAAGTTTGCATGACTGTGGTAAAGATTTTCACAGGCAGATTTCTGCAATAGGGTGGGGCTAATTATTTTGATTTTCACTTTAGAAAAATAGATTTAAAATAAAAATAATTGAGACAGACTTTGAAGGAAAGCGAATGTGCAGTGGCCCTCTGCGACTGTCTTCCCAGTGCATATACCTTCACCATAGCGCGCTTGTCTTTAGGAAAGAGCATCAGGCTCATAGCGGGACAGACGAGGGACACTCAGTGGGCCTCACCTTCCCCAGTTGCTGCTCCGTCAGGGAGAACGCATCCATGAACGCCTGGGCAATCACTGACAAGCAGCCGTCTATGTGGGGTGTCTTCTTAATGTCAAAGACAAACTGCGGGTTCTTCAGGATGTTTACCCAGAAGCGAAGAGGAAGGCTGTTCAAAGAGAGAATAATCCCCGTTCACAGAGGGTCACCTGTGAGACCTGCGGGCTGCTGATCACAGTTTGTAAACAGGCTTGTCTGTCCTTGTGACTGAAGTACACAAGTCAGCTTGGCCAAGTGCACCAGGCAACAGATGGCGGCTTCCCCCAGAGAGGACAACAAGGGGTTAAGCTGACAGGGCTGCTAAAGGGAAGGCAGGGGGACAGGTCTGAAAGTGGCCACAACCAGAATATTCTCCAGCTAGTTTTTTATTATGTATGAGGAGACCCCAAAAAACCAGAATTCACTGATATTGTGTATTTATCATCACGTTTTTAAAACTTCAAAGTCTTCTGTTTGATGCAGTACCCCTATTGAGATGCTTTTTCCACTGCTGAAAACAGTTTTTGAACTTGTTAATTTTGATGCCTTTTAGTGCTTCTGCCGTTTTTTGTTTCACCTCTTCCACACTGGCAAAACGTTTCTCTCTGAGGAATTTTGTCATTGGTGAAACAAAAAGTCACTTGAGTGAATCAGGTGAATGGGGAGGGTGGGTCATGGGGTCATGCCATTTTTGGTCAAAACTGCTGAGCACTCAGCGTGGTGTGAGCAGGTGCGTTCCTAAATCACCCGTCATTAAGTGGGCAAATGTGTTGAAAGAATCTCCAAAAAAATTCACTGAAGCAGAACACAGCCTCTCACAACAACACTAAATGGTCCATGGTGATGTGTTCCTAGAACACGCACCTAGCAGGGGAAGCCAGTACTACAATGGGCCCGCTCTCCAGAAGGTAATTCCGGTTTTTGGTCCCCCTCGTATGCATCTCTCCTGTGTATCATTTTTCTCCAACTCCTGGTGGTTGATTCTCACACAACTACCCACCATCCTTCTCGCACAGCATCAGACTGCGGCTCCTCTACTCAAGCCCTCGAAGCACACAGCTCCCTCTGGACAATGCCAGAAGCCTCTGTACCTGTTCCCCCACCCTCCCCTGCACTCCCGCACCCCTTGTGCCTGGCAGCCCTGCTCCCGTCCATCTTCCTGAAAGCCCCTGAGAATGCTGTGGCTCAGGCCCTCTCCTCCTTCCAGATTTGGCCCAGCTGTCACTGTCTATGAGACCTCCTCTGGCCACCTGTCCCGACACTCGCCTCCCTTCCCACCTTCTCCACCATGCTTACTGCCCCCTGCTGTACTGCAGGTCACCCGTTAGAATGCAGGCTCTGTATGGACATGAACTTCCGTCTTGTTACCAAATCTCCAGTACCTAACTGCGTGGCATGTGGCAGGTACACAAATATTTGGACATGAACTTGGGACTTGCTCAAGGCACTTCCATGATCTTTTCAACTCTAGCCCAGCTCACTGCCCCCACCACATGCTGCCAGGTCTTCCAGCAGCTCTTCTGTCCCCATTGCCTTCCCTGCTCAGATGTCCCAGTCTTTGCAGTGTCATGGTGGCCTGCAGCTCCCAGGTTTAGTGTGGGAGTGGCAGGGACTGGGGTAAGAGGCTGGGATGCAGGAACGCAGTAAGCCAGGGTAGAGTTGAGGGAGACTGGGTGGGCACTGAAATAGGCACTCGCCCTGGAGCTCGGAGCTCCAGCTTTTAATATTTCAGGTGACTTGGCTGACCTCAAGGCTGGGCTGGGCTGAGAGCTCTGACTTTGCATCTTGCTCTCAGCCCATGCACCGTGTTCCACATGGAGTAATGAGCTATGCCTCTTTATGGAGGAGGCATTAGGAATAGATCTGGATACGCTGCCTGTGCTTAAGGCCAAATGTTCAAATATAAGACAAAATACAAACTTTGGGCTAACTCTCAATGCCTGAGTGCTGCATTGGAGGAAATAAAAGCAGAAATTTCTATACAGAATCAGAATGTAGATGGACAGCTGGACACTGCAAAGTAACATTGTTTCAGAAACAAATAAAATGGTTTTATAATGATATTTCCTCTAATAAAAAAATGATATGATGAAGCCACAAAATATTAATTTCTCATCCTTTGCTGGTCACATTAAACTTGTTTCAACATTGTAGACAAAGTCTTTTCCATGCATTAGAGATATTAGGGCTTACTTTATTCTAAAAAATAGGATCCTTGGCATAGGAATGGTTTCATTTACTGTTTAAAAATAGTAACAGAGTGAGAAACGACTCCAATATGATAGCTCACCACACCCACAGACTCTGAGCCACGACTCCTTTTAGCTAATTTTCTGTCCCAGATTCTTGAAAACAGTAATTCTTTAGATTCCTACCTGTTTGTTTTCCAAATATGCACGACATCAGGATCTGTGATCTTTTTGTTTTCAGCCTGGGCATCCAAAAAGTCAAAAAAGTATTTTATGGCAAACGGGGCTCTGCTGTTGGGTAGACTCCAAATGCTCCTGAAAAGCTTCTCAAGCACAGAGTGAATTGCCACCTAGAAGACAGAATATCACATTCAGGGGTTAAGAAGTGTGGTCACAGTCCTGAAAACATAGAAAACCCAGTCCAGGTTCAGAGAAAATGATGAACAAACAGAGAGAAACAGGCTGAGGAGAAACGTAAAACAGTCAAGCGCGTCAGTGCTCACAGTAGGACAGGAACCCTGAAAAACCACGCAGATTGGGCAATGCAGCTCTGAAGCTTCCTGCAATAGCAACACTGTTTAGACAACTGGGGGGGGGGGTGTCTGGGCCATCGCCAGCAGGGGCATGTTGCTTACAGGCTGTGTGCCCAAACCCACAAGCAGCAGATGCCTGGCTCCTGTGAGGGACGATCAGCCTGGGAAACCCTGAATGGCACCCGGACCTCAGAACTTCTGCTGCACCTTCTAAAACCCCAGAGTATTTCACAAACACCAAATAGGCTGAGCTCTGTGGGACAACGAGAAAATCAGGAGTCCCAGGATGTCATCTGCCCCTCAACAAGTCTCAGCTCCAGGCAGATTTTCTGTCATCATCTGAGGAAGCCTGCCCATTGAGTTTCCAGGGCCAAGTACAGATAATGGCACTTAGAGCACTCATCATTCCAAAGGGAAAAGGTCACTGTGGACTTCCTCATTCCACTCAAAGCCAGAGAGTAAGATCTGTTCCTGATTCGGCATTCCACATCGGACACTTGGGTGTGTGAGAGGAATTCTTAATTTTCAAGTGGAGAAAAAAAGTCAGTTCATATTTCCTAGGTTTCTATTCACTGACCCTCCCACCCCCTTCATTTTATTTGCAATGCAGAGAGGGAGTTTTATTGCTCATCTGTAATAACAAGCAAACAAAAAGGAGTAATTATGCTGTCAACCTAAAAAATAACAGCAGGAAGCAGTGGGGAAGGGATTGGGATATTGCATCCCTGATTGAAGATGCCATGGTGGAAATCTGTAAAGTGCTGCTATCTGTGCAGTTTAGAAAAAGCAGCAGCAAAAGGAGGAGGATAGGAAGTGTTTACAATGTAGACTTTCATTCTGCTTTGCTGGGAGGCACAGGGGATTTGTAACATTTTTGGACCTCAGTGGAAGTTAAGCCAAATGCACTGTCCACCCACATGGTCCACCCCCAAGGCATGTGAAAGCTCCCTGAGCAGCAGAAAAGACCTTGGTGGACAGCAGCTTTGTCAGGTACATTTCCTTCACTTTGAACTTGTGCTTCCCTCGATGTCTCTTTCCCTGCACATCTTGGAAGGCTTCGGAATCTGGCAGGATCTGGAGGGAGATGGAGCAGAGGTGTCACCCAGCAGCCTGCTCCTGCCGCAGGGGACACCCGGGCCACGGTGTGGGAAGGCTCCACTCACCAAGTGGCAGTGATCGTCCGAGTACTCCACATCTGGAGGTCAGAGGGGAGATAAAACAGTCCATTAGAACAGCCGCGGCCAGCCAGCCTTCCTCAGGGGCCTCACTGGGGCTGTGGGGCCCTTTGGCTTTCCTTTCCTTTTTTATTTTAGAGCTGTGGTTGCATTGTTGTGTATACTGGTGATAGCTGGGCTTCCAGTGAGCCCTCTCTCCCAGGAGTGGACATGGTGCCCAGTGGGAGGTCATGTACCTCTTCTCCACCCCTTCCCACCTCCCCCCATTAACAGTGCCTGGCATCAGTTGTTTCTGCCTTTGTGCCCAGCGTTCAGGGCCCACTTGTGAGTGAGCACATGCAGTGTTCAGTGCTGTTTCTGAGAGGGCTCACTTAGAGTGGTGGTCCTCACTACACCGTGCTGCTGAGCCCTTGAACTTGAGCTGTTCACAGCTACATTCCCCCTGCCACATCTTGAGATCTTGTGGAAAACGTGAGGACAGATGGGCCAGGATGTGAGGTGGGAGCAATTCCACCCGGGGGTGTCAAAACAGAGGCTGCATGACCACTTGAAGGGTAGGGGAGGCCCAAGCCTTTCATGCAACAAACACCTGGGCTCATCCCAGGGGCCAGGGACAGCCAGGCCCACATTCCAGCCAGGGAGAGACCTCAGACTATGAATTCCATGATGAATCATGGAATTGAGACTATGTAAGGATGATGAAGGGAACTGCATGCTAGAAAGTGCCTAACGGGAGAGCTGTGCCCGTTGAACGTCTTCAGGAAAGGGATTTGTGAGCTGAGCCTGAATGAACAGTTGTCCAGGCAGATGGAGGAAGGCCCAATGGGGAAGAGACTGAGCCCCGAGGGTCTGAAAGGAGGACCTGAGGTGCCCGGAGAGTGGAGAGTCAGAGGGAGGACAGGTGACTGAGAAGGCTGAGGGCCTATGGCCAGAGGGAGGGTGGGGTCAGGCGCTTGGGTTTCTGTCTTACAGATAAGAGACTACCACATCTTGAAACACTTGTGGAAAAATGCTATGGAGATGAGGGATAGAAAGGACCGGCAGAGAGGTCAGCAGTAGGGCAGAGATGCTCAGAACTGAGGGCATGGTGGGACCCCACATGGCGAGGAGTGGCCTAGGTGGAGGAGGGACAGCCATGTGTGTCAGGAATATGAAGAGGTGGGCAGGGCAGCCAGGAGGAGGAATGTGAGGAGGCAGGCAGGGTTGGAGCTGGTTGTCAAGGGGCTCTGATGTCTGTTTTCTCTGTTAAGTGCAGGGGGAGCCCACTGCAGACAAGCAGGAGACTCATGGGGGCTGGGGCTTTGAGAGAAGTTGAACGTGGGGGAGAACAGCACTGGGTTGCCCAGGAACCCAATGGCGTGAGGGCACTGGCCTGGCCAGACACCGTGGACTCACAGCGACCCTGTATCTCTGTGCATTTCCCCCATGGCTGTCTGCTGTGGGTTCAGGAAAGGCTAACTGCTGGGTGCATCCAGGCCAGGATCTCAACAGAAGGGCTGAGGACAGGACAGAGGGGCAGGGGGCCAGGAGCCTCGACAGGCTCGTCATCAGGATAGTGACTCCCGGCAGGGGTGGACAGAGGAAGCTGGTGCTAACTGATGGATCCCAGCTAGGGTTCCCCACCTGACTCCCAACACAGGCTCTCCCACAGGTCCAGTCTCTGAAGCCGGAGGCACACGGCTCCTCCACTTTCAACACAAGGACTCTATTCTCTGAAGCCAGAGAGAAGGCCACCTCCTCAGGGTGGCCTCCCCACAGCCCCATGCAGGGATGATGGTGAGGGCCCAGAGGGGTCCTCCGAGCTCCCAAGGTATACCACCTGCACTGGAAGGATGCTTGCGTTCTCTGCTTGTGCTGAACAGATGCGGGGACCTGCCCCACCCCTTCTAACAGCTCATCCAGGCATCAGTAAGCCCTGCCTTGGCCAAGTGTATATCAGGGGCCTGCGACTGAACAACCGGAAACTTCGAGGCTGACAATGGACTGTCTTGGCTGAGGTACAATTTCTCTGGAGCTGACCCTGCTAGAACAGAAATGACCTGCCCTATGGCTGTCAGGGAGACAAAAGCTGACTTCAGAGTCTGGCCTGTGGCTCTCCATAGAAGCCCCCTTGAGTGGAGTCTCTGTCCACGTTCTGGGGTATGGCGAGCTCTCTCACAAGGACAGTGGAGTGGGCCACCTCCTCTATCCGTGCCATGGGGCCATAGGGTAATCTGCAGCCTGCCTCTCATCTGGGGGCTCCTCTGCCGGTACCCAACAGTCGGAGAACAGCCACGCAGGCCAAGCAGCCACCACCCACTGCAATGCATTCCGCCCTCCTGCAGGCCCCCATTCTCAAGCATGGAAACAGTCCGTCCCCGCTTTCAGAGGAGGACATGACGACAATTCAGTCTCACCTTTGTGACGATACATCTGAGAAGCAAAAAGCAGTGCCTTACAAACCAGGGTGAGAACAGATGGCAAACAACATTGTATCAGTTACCTGATGTGAAGTTGGCAATCTTCTTAAAGACTTTTATAGTGGATCCGTTTGATATCTGAAATCAAAGATATAAAACATGAGTTTTCAAAATGTTATGTATTTCTTAACTTCACCCAGAATTAGATGGCTGGATGGACTTTCCATGCTCTCACTTATTAACCAAACACACGGCCACAGTTCCCATGCCACAGGCACTGTGCTGGGGGCTAATGACAGGCAAGACAGCGTCTCTGCCCTCTAGGTGCTCACGGTCCCAGAGATACAGGAGGCAAGTGAGGAGGTCAGGAGCTTTGGGCAGAGGGGAGGTGGGCCAGCCCTGAGTGGGGAAGGCCAGGCCGCACTGGGACCCTCCCAGCCTCAGAGGTCGGAAGGGGCTGGGCCCGCTTTGTCGTCTGAGTTCTAGTGTTACCTGTGGAGTGCTCATGCCCTTGAGACGTGAACAGAACATGCTAATCTCAATGTGGTGGCCTTAGGAGTGGGGCCTGTGGGAGATGATGAGGTCATGAGGGTGGGGCCCTCAACTCAAAAAAAAAAAAAGTGTTCAAACAAGTTTTCAAACCTGTCGTGTATAAACTGGCGTCTATACTATGATAGAGTAACATCGCATCTGGGTCTACACTCAACAGAAAGTATACATCCTATAGTGATCTATGTGTCGTTGGCCCATACTGGAAACATCCCCAAATCCATCAACCTTAAAGTAGATAAATGAGGCCATGATGTGTGGGCAGGCTGCCCCTTGCCCAGAGCTGAGCACCCCAGTGGAGAATGGCCCTGGGACCTGGCGTGGGGGGTGGGAGGCTCCTGCATAGCTAGTCCAAGTGCATAAAGGGCTGTGATGAGTGGTTGCTCCTCTGCTCAGGCATGGATGCCCCCTCCATGGAGCACTTCCCTGGGGATTTGCCCTCCTCCCCAGGGAGGGTGCCCAGGCCAGGCCCTCTGCGCAGAGCCCAGCACCCTATACCTATGTATCAAATAAAGGTAGACTCTTAAAAAAAAAAAAGTAGATAAATGGGGGGTGTATTCACACAACAGAATAGTATAAAGCAATGAAAATGAGCCAACTCCTGTTACACACCCACGGGCGGATCACAGTCACAATATTGTGCTGGAATGCCTTGTAGGAGGCAAGCTACAGAATAATTCACTGCACAAAGCTAGCATAGCCCAGCCCGCCAGGATGAGGGCAGGGAACCTGGGGACAGGGAAGGCCAGGAGGAGGGACTGCTTCTTGGGCAGTGGTGGCAGGATGGGTTTCCTCAGTGACAATATATCCAGCCGGCGGTATGCTGAAGACCTGTTCTCCTCTGTAGGGTACACAAGCTAAGCAGCCCTAACCCAAAAATCAAATGCTCCAAAACCTGAAGGTTTCTCAGTGTCATCAGGTAGAAATTCTAGCCCCAAGCTCACATGGCAGGTCACAAACACTAGTCAAAACTGTATGCAGAAAATTAAAAATACTGTATACAATTACCTGTGGACTATATGTATAGGGTATGTATGAGCCATAAATGAATTCTGGTTTAGATTTGAGTCCCATCTCCAAGGGACCTCATTATATATGCAAATATTCCTGAATCCAAAGGAAAAAACCGAACTTCTCATTCCAAGCATTTTGGGTAAGGGATACTTAACCTGTGATATATTTTTAAAAGCTTGTAATGAAGAATCATACAAATTGCATGTACTTCTTAATAAAAACTTTGACATTTCAGCTTAACATATAGGAGAGTACTTAACTTTTACTAATGTTAAGTGCACAGCCCAAAGAATATTCAAATTAAATATATACCTATGTAACCACCACCTAGACCAAGATATAAACTATTGCAAGGTCCTGGAATATCCTTTTTTTTTTTTTTTGAGTTGGAGTCTTACTCTGTCACCAAGGCTGGAGTACAGTGGCACGCTCACGGCTTATTGCAGCCTCAACCTCCTGGGCTCAGGCATCCTTCTACCTTGTCTCCCAAACAGTTGGGACTACAGGTGTACACCACCACACCCAGATAATTTTAAAAATTTTTTTAGAGACAAAGTCTTGCTATATTGCCCAGGCTGGCCTCAAAATCCTGGGCTCAAGCAGTCCTCCTGCCTCAGCCTCCCAAAATGCTGCTGGGATTACAGGTGTGAGCCACCACTTCCAACAGTCCCTAATACCCTTTCCTAGCCAATAAGCACCCCATCCTCATCCCAAGCTAACACTTTTCTGACTTCTTTCACCACCTATTTGTGTTACCTGTTCTTGAACGTTATATAAATGGACTCATACAGGATGTCTAGCTTCTTAGGGCCAGGATAAGGTCTGTGATATTTACTCCTATTGCAACTTCCAGGAGTTTGTTCTTTTGGGGTTTGTTGTTGTTGTTGTTGTTGTTGTTTTGAGTTGGAGTCTCACTCTGTCACCCAGACTGGAGTGCAGTGGCCGCTTCTGGCCACCGCAACCTTGACCTGCTGGGCTCCAGCGATCCTTCTGCCTCAGCCTTCCAAGTAGCTGGAACTACAGGCGCGCGCTACCACGACTGGCTAATTTTTTGATTTATTGTAGAGATGAGGTCTCGCTGCCCAGGCGGATCTCGAACCCGAGGGCTCAGGCAATCCACTCACCTCAGCCTCCCAAAGGCGCGGGATTACAGTTCTTTTTAATCAGCACATATTAGTCCACTGCATGAATTTATTACCCAAAAAGTTGCCATACAATAAAAGAATGATTGATACATGCTGAAGTATGGATGAACTTCACAAAACATGTTGCCAAGTGCAAGAAGTCTGTTACAAAAGACCACGTATGTATGAAATACCCAGAATGGGCAACTGCATCCAGGCAGGTCCTGGATGACCAGCCACCCAGGCAGGACTGGAAGGGCACAGGGGACTGCTTGGGCATAGGGTTCCTTCCAGAGGGGATGGGGACATTCTGGAACCAGACTGGCGATGGCCGCATAGGTCTATAAAATACATCTAAAACCACCTAAAAGCAGGCAAGCTTTGTGATATGTAAATTATATCTCAATAGGGCTATTAAAAATTGCTGCTTTTCGATGTATACTTTTGACAAACACTGATGTACCAATGCAGTGCCTCTGTGTGGTGTGTCTCTCTGTGTGTGTATGTCCCCATTTGGAACTCAAGTCAAGAGATCTCACCTGAGGCCTTCCAGGACCACGTGCCCAGGGTTAAGTGGCTCTGCAGTACCCTCCCCACACCCTGGTGGCCCCTGGTGAGGAGCCAGGTGAAGAAGTGCCCTCAGAGGGAAGGAGTATAGATGCTGAGAGGTAGGGACAGGCTGGGCTCCTCAGGAGGAAACTGATCTCAGGGAGGAGCCAACCCACAACACATCAAAGGGTGGTGAAAGAAGGCAGGTTAGAGACAGCCCACCCAATTCCGGGATCACCTCAGCGGGGAGGCCTGCTGTTCTGATGCTCCAAGGCTGTTCCGATTTCCAACATGAACTTGGACTTGGACTTCCCAGTTTGGAAAGAACTGCAGACCCAGCATGTCTCTTCTGCCCTGCTGCCCTGGCTGTCCAAAGGCACAGGCCTGCCTGCAGCCCAGAGGACCAAGGCCTCACCTCCAGGCAGCCGCAGAGGGAGGCCAGCAGAGCACAGTCAGCCTCAGGAGGCCTCACACTCAGCCGACCAGCCAACCGCCCAGTCCAGGCCAGGGGCTCCACCTGCTGTGTGCAGGACATCTTGGGGTGGCCACCAGGCCTTGCCAAGCATCTCCTGTGGGGACTTATCACTGTCACTTAGCTCTTTGGCTCTGCCATTATTACCGATCATCCTCTCCTTCCCACCAGCCGGTCACTGTTTTCTGGCCGATCCTCTGTACTTGACATGATGGAAGGAGACACCCAGGCAGGCACCCCCTTGACAACGCTGATGCCCCTTGGCACCCCCTTGGCAACTGAGTGTACAAGAAGGTTCCAGTGGAGTTACAGAATCCCACCCCACGAACGAAGAGGAGGTATGCTCCACTTCTGTGCCAATAAATATCTTTTTATAAAAGGAGGCCATGACTCATTCTGGATAATTGTCAGAGAATGGATCCCAAGCAGTCCCGTGCAGAAAGTTGAGCCAACACTCTGCTCCCACCAGATGCTTTGTGGTGCCCAGAGCGTGAACCCTTCCTCTGTCACCAACAGTGCCGTGGGCCTGCGGCAGGCATGCTGCAAGGGTCCAAATGTCTCATAAGAGCTGGTACCACTGGAGGCTGGCACGCGCAAGGCACTGAGACAGCGGAGACACAGCTTGTATGGAAGTCTTACTCCAAGACCGTCTCCCAAGAGTGAGTGTAACACGTGTTATTAGTGGATGAGCTGTGTATGTTATGTGTGCAAGCGTGTGTATGTCTGACTTCCACAGCCGCCCCAGGACTGGAACATTTCCCCCATGTGACACCTTAACACGACAACAGAGACAGAAACACCGAGTATGTGCAGATGTTTGCAGGGGGAGTTTTCTATTGTCCATGTAGCCCAGCCTGTCTGCAAAGCGCCCCAGACTCCAGAGTGTTAAGACAACAATGGCTCTCTCCCCAGTGTTCCAAATGCGCTTCTCAGAGTCACTCATTAATCGTCCCCTGCCCCTGGGAGGCACACGGCGTCCTCTAGACCCCTACTTTAGGGATGAAAACCAAATTAAATCAAAGAAAGATTAATGTCACTCGATGAATCTGCGGCAGGAATGCTTCTCCAGCCCAGAGCAGAACGGGTGTGCACAGCAATTTCAAACTGCATTCCCTCAGTCCCATGGTATCCCAGGATTCCTTGTGACAGCAGGTGTGCCCCTCCGGTGATGGCCAGAGATGACCACCAGCTTTCCCCTCATCAGAATGAGGAGCTAGGCTTCGTAGGGAGAGACGGGCCCATGCCACCAGTTCAAAGTCACTTCTAAAGTGAACAGGGCCACAAATTCTCCGAACCTCCTCCAGGTAAAGGTGAGATGTCTTTTAGTAAGATACCATCTCTATGGCATAGATTGGAGGTCATTCCATAAAAATAAGCTTCTAGAAATACACAGTTGAGCTTATATTTAACCTTATGAAACCACCATTTTT